CGATTGTTGTATGTTAGGGTGACGAATTTCTTCTTCTCTTTGGGAGTGTTCAGGGTATGGGATTTTTTCTTTTTCTTAATTATCCTGTCAATTATGTTACTATCATAGCCATTATCTTGTGCGATATATTTTATTAAATTTAATTCCTTGTTGTAGTTCCTGTTGGTCATAGGTATCTGGTTTAGTCTATGTATGAATGAGTTAAAGGCTGCCATTTTATGGGAAACTGGATGGTTGGAAGTTGCGTGTATTGTTTGGCTGGACTGGGTTGGCTTATGAAAAATGCTGAACTGATGCTTGTTTTCGTTTGTATGTATTGTCAAGTCCAAATAATTTATTTTGTTGTCAGATTCAATTTCGTTTTTGAACTTTATTTTTGGGTGAGCGGCGTTGAGATGTTTGGTGAAAAGGTTGATTTGTCTCTGATTTCCTTTAAACAAACATATGGCATCATCAACGTACCGATGGTATTACACTATACATTTCCTGTATTTGTTATTCTGGCTCATAATGTGTTTATTCTCAAAATCATTTAAATATATTTCGGCTAGCACACTTGACAATGGTGATCCCATCGCTAGTCCGTCTTGCTGGATGTAGTATTTGTCATTGAATTTAAAGTAGTTTTGTTTAGTTACTATTTTCGCTAGGTTGCACAGCTCGTTAATTTTAGTAACGCTTAGGCTGTTGTTTTCTGTTAATCTAACTCTTAAAATGTCTATGGATTCGTCTACAGGGATGTTTGTGTACATATCAATCTCAATCCTAGTCACAGCATAAAAAACAGTTTAGAACTTGTGGAAAAGATAAGAGACATACCAATCGCTCCAGGTCAAACTGTCTTATCTCTAGATGTAGACAATATGTACACAAACATCCCTGTAGACGAATCCATAGACATTTTAAGAGTTAGATTAACAGAAAACAACAGCCTAAGCGTTACTAAAATTAACGAGCTGTGCAACCTAGCGAAAATAGTAACTAAACAAAACTACTTTAAATTCAATGACAAATACTACATCCAGCAAGACGGACTAGCGATGGGATCACCATTGTCAAGTGTGCTAGCCGAAATATATTTAAATGATTTTGAGAATAAACACATTATGAGCCAGAATAACAAATACAGGAAATGTATAGTGTAATACCATCGGTACGTTGATGATGCCATATGTTTGTTTAAAGGAAATCAGAGACAAATCAACCTTTTCACCAAACATCTCAACGCCGCTCACCCAAAAATAAAGTTCAAAAACGAAATTGAATCTGACAACAAAATAAATTATTTGGACTTGACAATACATACAAACGAAAACAAGCATCAGTTCAGCATTTTTCATAAGCCAACCCAGTCCAGCCAAACAATACACGCAACTTCCAACCATCCAGTTTCCCATAAAATGGCAGCCTTTAACTCATTCATACATAGACTAAACCAGATACCTATGACCAACAGGAACTACAACAAGGAATTAAATTTAATAAAATATATCGCACAAGATAATGGCTATGATAGTAACATAATTGACAGGATAATTAAGAAAAAGAAAAAATCCCATACCCTGAACACTCCCAAAGAGAAGAAGACATTCGTCACCCTAACATACAACAATCGGCTGAACTACAAAACCAACAATATATTTAAAAAACATGGTTATACAGTTACTTACAAAAATTCCAACAAACTAGAAAATCTCATTAACCCCAGAAAAGGAAGTATTGGTGACAAATTCGACAGCAGTGGGATATACAAATTAAACTGCAATGACTGTCCAAAATACTATATAGGCCAAACAGGGAGATCATTTAAAACCCGTTTTAAAGAACACCTCCCCAAGAAAACAGTCAACCAAAAATCGAACTATGCTGAACATCTTATACAAAGTGGACATAATTACAGTTCTATCTCAGACAATTTGCAAATATTACACAAGTGCAAGAAAAGTAATTTAATGTCCACACTTGAGTGTTACGAAATTTATAGAGCAGTACAATGTGAACCAGACAACGTACTGAATGACAAAATTAACACTCAAAGAAATGCATTGTTCGACACCGTAATACACCTGGAGAAGAGCAATGACGTCATGGTGCAAAGTACACCACAGACAAACCTCCATCCTGCAGTCGTCGCCCAGAATTAATCATGTGCGTACGCGAGTTGTGGCCACAGCGACGACAATACCGATCGGTCCTTAAATGTAGTAATTGTGTGTTCGTGATATGTGTTTTGTGTTAATGTTCAAGACGAAGCGATAGCGGATCACCTGATGATGTCACTGTGTTGACGAAACGCGTCGTAAGACTACACCATTTTGGAACGTTAGAAGGTAACATTATATTATTATATTTTTAGTGTTATATTACTCTTGAAATAAATTAAATTTACGTTGTATTTGTATTTACTAGTAATAATAAATTATTTGCCAACCCTCAGAGTTTTACTTTTAAAATATATTCAACTTTAAAATGCATATGTCCCCTTCTTGAAATTTGTAGTATAGCCTACATTCAGAAAAATACAAAATGCTACAACGCTACAACCTACACTCTACACTGCCTCCCAGACTAAAATAATGATGTTATACTAGGGTTGCTTTCAGAGAGGTGAAAGCCAGTTGAGCGGAACAAACGTGATTTGATATTTGCATAAGTAACTTTATGCAAGTAACTTTAAGTAACTTTTTTTATTTGAAATGTAAAAAAGTCAATAGATGTACTAATGCTGGTTTTATTGTTTAAAATGATAATAATTCAGATTTGTTTTTACTACATCTTGTTATTCAGATACCTCTTCCAAAAGTACATTATGGTAGTTTTGACGAGGAAAATATTATCAGTTTATTTGGTGCAGCACAAATAAACAACTTGATCAATTACCTATAACCTACACTTTACCTTACTAATTTAACCTTACTTCAAAACTTAATGTAGTCACGAATACTCATAAACCCCGACCTATCTTCCCCACATGCCTAAATTAGTGTTCAATCTGCGTTTTATTAATAAGTGTAATAACTTACTGCACCGTCGATGTAATTCAACATAATATAACCTGTGATGTATTATCGGATTAAATATCGATTTCGATTCGGTTCAATATATCGCTTATTAAATCCTGATTTCTAACATTGGCTGTTTCTAATCAACTGGCAACACAAATAGGTCCATGGTTTAAAAACGTTTAAAATAAAAATCTAGAAAGTTCAGAAATACCTTATGATTCTCTTGTTTACATTTTTCTTGTAAACAAAAAACTGTCATATGGCTACTTTAGTCCCATAAGCCTAATGTAAAAATTTGGAAATTTTAAGTTCGTTTTAAATTGCATTAGCATTATCTAATTGAAATTTGTTTGTTTATTAACCATCTCACTATTAGTCTAAGTAATCTTGTTAAGTTTAGCTGAAATGTGTTCTGCCGTTATTGAGTGATGTTGCTTTATTTGTTGCATTGAAGTTGATCCCAAAGAGCTACGCTCGCTTCGCTCGCTCCGCTCAATTACAATTTCCAAGCAGAGATTACTTTCCAATTTTAAAAGATAAATATTTAAAAAAAATATGTAGGTAGTAAATAAAAACTTACAGGACCAGCATTATTGAAAAAGATCCAAAGAAAATCTTGAATTTTCATAGTAATCTTACTTTTTTCCTAGCTCATAAATAAATAAAAATTAACTGAGTTCTTAATTTTAGGTAAAACTATTATAAAAACAATTTTTTTCATGTTTGTCAAAATTAAGTAGCAGATGATCACTAGACACTGATTTGAACTAATATCATTACACCCTTAATTGTATCATTAAGTAACCAAATGATATCAATGGATCACCTAATGATATCAATACTAAAGTCACTAGACAAACAGAGATCACTAGACATCACTTCAAGTTCACTGATGTCTAGTGATTAATGTCACTAGATTCTCTAATGATACCACTTGATATCATTAGACATCTATTGACATCACTATGTATCTAATGATATCAATACAATATGTAGTGATATCATTTAAATGTCTAATGATTTCCTATTGTTCTTTTCACTAAGGTGGCTACCGGAAGCACTTACCATCTTTTTTGTATATTTACCGTCTTTTGAGTAACAGTATAAGCGTAAATATATGTTTTAAGTGTTATAAGACGTTTCTTTTATTTACTTTCCGTAAATTTAATAACACGTACAATGCTGATCAAGAAGTTATAAAAAAGAGGCAGGTTTTGATCAGTAGGAGAAGTGTTGGGGTGCATGAAGTGTGTAAAGGCAGGGGCAAACATGGTGAATAGATCTTATTTCCAATCCTTAAGAAACAGGAGTCTCGGTTTAAGAATTACACAAGAATGTCAACTACAACGTTCAATTACATATTTAGTTTGGTGAAGGATGATTGGTAGAAGCTGACAACTAATTGGAGGAGACCAATTGGTGCAGAAAAGAGACTATTGACTTAAAGCATGTCTGCAGTCGATTGCGCTCCAATACGCTCTGAGAAAAACTAAATAGTTTGTTCCTCGGTTGTACGCTACACTGAAATTTGCTACTAGTATGTCATACCTCATTTCAATGCACGGTTTTGATTTAAAACATGCACTGCGCTACGCTGTCTGTATGTTTTTACACTTTGTCTTAAATTATTTCCAAGTCCCAGTCTTGCCATGAAGCCCACTGTAGCTTATGCCCTATGTGGGAAATTTGCTAAAACACAGCCGACTAAATATAGTAGCCTGTGTCATAAAACTTAGAGTTGAGACATATCATGAGAACTGTAGCTTAAAAAGGTAAACTTTGAATTATTGAGGCTCAGAAACTTATCATTTCATGATATTTACAAGGATTTCAAGGGTATCATGAACAATTTTTGATATTTATCAATGAATTTGAGTTTATAATTGAGGTTCCACTGTAACATTATTATCAGATTTCTTCCTCTTTAAATCTGACATCTAATACCGACTGCCTTATATACATTTATCTGCCAACTACACAGAATATAATTTTCAGGGGCTGGTGAACATCAGTGATAAATATGGCGCTTCCGCCATACCTCTTGGGTCCTACACCATGGATGATGGTGCAACAGCAAGCAGCTCATGCTCAGTTGGCTGCTGCACATGCGCAGGCCCAAGTTGTAGCTCAGGCTCAGGCAGCCCATGCTCATGCTCAGATGCATGCACTGCAACAAGCACAGCAGCCCGTGCCAATGCCTTTGCCTAAACCACCAGAGGTTTTGACAGAGGACAAGCTTCAGGAGAAAGGTAGGTTGAGCTTTACACATTTATCTTCCTACAGTACCGGTAAATAAATTAACTTGAAAGGGTTAGAGGGATATTATCTTTACTAGATGTACCTACTTACTATTAGCCTACTAACATTTTGATCATTGTTTGAGCTAAGTTTTCTAAACTACGTTTTTCATATACAGGCTGTAAAGGTGAACAATGAAAAAGTTATTCCTCAAATTTTGCACCGTAAAAACTCAACATATCTTTTTATAATCTTCTTAACTAGGTTTAATTATATCCTCAAATTACATTTTGAGGCAGAGTTATTTGTAGGTGTGAAGGATATTTATGTTTTTTCCCCACTGTAATATGGTCTAGGCCTAATGAATTATGCTATAATATCAAAATTTCTATCAGAATCATTCTAAGTAAACGTAGTTGTGTCCTTTCACATTCATCTTGTTTAAGATCCTATTACTTACTTACTGCTGTGGCTCTTGGTACCCAAGGAGGTACTTTGCCTCGCTAACACACTGCCTCCAGATTCCACGATCCGTTGCTTCCTCCTCTCTTCTTCCCATTCTTCTCAGATCTCTTCTCACTTGATCTCGCCACCTCAATTTGGGCCTTCCAGGAGGTCTTCTACCCTCGGGGTTGATAGTTAGGGTGTTTTTTCACTAAGGAGCCCTCTTCCTTTCTTAACACATGGCCTGCCCACCTCAATCTTCTACTTCTCACCTCAGCCACAATATCCGGGACCCTGTACATTAACCCTTGCCGACATACCGCCACCGCCCACCACCACCCACCACTGCTCGAGCGAACACCATTACCGCAACGATACGTTGAACAGTCGTAGGTCTCGGTGATGTAGTGGATAGCGCACCGGGCTGATGATTCGGAGGTACCCAGTACGAAACCCACCGGAGGCAATAACTTTTTGACTAAATTTTTTTTTCATTATCAGCGAGTTTGGTTGGTTTGGTTAGGTTATGATAGTTTAATTTTATAATTAAAAAATTATATAGTTGATTTTGAGATATTTATAATTTTATTTTACGAAAAGAACTATTTTTGTTATTAGTAAACCTTCATTTGAAATATTCATTATCAGCAAGTTTGGTTAGGTTACGACAGTTAAATTAATTTAAATTTAACCTACAAGCGACGCGTTTTGACAGCTACAGTGATAGAACTAACAATTTCCCACGAACAGTTCGGCTATGCACGGTATGATGCGTTCTGCACGGCACGGTGGTGGGCGGTGGCGGTCTGACGGTAAGGTCTCGTCCCTGTACAACTCTCTCAACTCCCTGTTGTGCTTTACTCTCCATTATCCATTTTCAAAGGTTGGTCCAAAGATTTTTCTTAGAATTTTGTTTTCGAACACTAGGCTATAAGTCGTTTTTCGGTTATCTTGCTTAGCACCCAATTCTCTGAGCCATATAGTAAGACTGGTCTTATTATAGTTTTGTAAGTTTCATGTGAAAGTAGGCGAGAACTTAATTTGTGGCATGCCGATAAACTTGTGCTGCATTTAATCTTTGTTGAATTTCAGAGTCTTCTTCATTATTATTTGTCAGCATTACTCCTAGGTAAGAGAAATTGTTTACTTTATAAAATTCGTGTCCCTCTATTTCTAAATGATTTTTATTAATTAATTGGGTTGCTCTTCCACACTCTATTATCTTGCTTTTGTCTTCATTGATATTTAAGCCTACTTTTTTAGCGTGGTTTATGAGTTTTAAAACCATAACTTTTAGTTCTTCTTTGTTTATGGCAACAAGTGCCACATCATCTGCAAATGCCAGGATATTTATGTTGGTTCCCATTAGTGATGGGTCGGTACTTAACATTACATGTCGGTTCCACCGGTTCTTAAGAAAAGTACTGGGACCTAGAATCGATGGTGAAATGTCAGTACTGATACCTTCGGTACCAAGTTAATAGGTTATATTTTTATTCACTCATTAAAACAATTTGAATTGTCAACCATGATGATAATTTCACTTAAGGCTATTTGAAAGGGCATATTTATCTTATATTATTATTATTAGTAGGCTATAGGATGATTATTTCAGTGTTAGTTGGTTAAGGGGAGATGCCCACTTTTTAGATTTAATGCATTTTATATGGGTAAACATCGTGTTGCTTAGGTACCATTTAAGAAAGAACCCTTTTAGCTATGCATATCAAATTTTAACTACTTATTTGTATTGACATTTAAGACAAACTGTACTAATTTAAATATGTTCTACCAAAAAAATCATATTTTATCAAAATTTTTAAAATATATAATTTTTTTCACTATTTTACAAATATTAATTAATTTTATTGTTAATGTTTTTTTAAACATAGAAGCAAACTTTTAGTACACTTTGTGGGCCATGATGTCCTAAGTAACAGAAAAAAATTTGAAGTCAGTGGTACTTATAGTAGTCTGGAAAATGGTACCTAAACATTAAAAAACACAGTTTCGGAAAAACTCATTTAAAGTCAAGCCTAGGCCTACCCTATGCCACATTATTCCTCATCACAAACAGCACTATTATTATATACACATATGTTATGAAGAAAGAAAAACAAACAGAAAAAGATTTTTGTTGACTATTTAACCTAGCAACAACATTTATTCAGTGCAACCATTCAACAAAATTAAATTTCTAACATAAATTTAATTGACGCTAATTCAGCCCATTGTGACTAAAACCGAGTGTGTAGTACTATTTATATTATTTTTTATGATTGTTAGACTGTAGTAAATATATTAAAATTATATATTTTCTGAATCAGGAAAAGATGAAGAATTTTTCAATGCAATAAACAAAAAATTAATTTTTTGACCGAAAAACTGGGCATCTCCCCTTAAGTTGTCGTCACTATCGTCAGCTGATAGAGTGGTGCAATCATCGACACAACTTGCTCCACCATCTTCAAGCAGAAGACAGAAGGCAAACTTAATAAAGACTGGATCAAATAAATGGTTTATTTTTACTCAACAAAATTACACTAGCTTAAAACCATTCTTTCCTTATCTGATGTTGATTATTGGTAACATTTACAATAGTTACAAGTCACAAGATTATTTTATTTAATTCATAGAGTACTTTATTTGACTTTGTTTTGTATGAACTATGGAAATATAGAAGCAACATAAACAGTGCTGAATGTACGACTCGAACCTCAAACTCAGTCAAGTTCACTCTTAGAATTGTTAGTCTCAGTCCAGTGCAGTCAGTGGCTGAATTAATATTTATTTTTATTTCCAATGGTTAAATGTTGGGGTACTCATGAGTCATGATTTCGACGAATCATATTGCATTCGATCTGTAACCACCGTGACAAATGGCAACACTGCACATTGCGCAAGACTACTATTTCAAATTTCAAGATAACGGGTAAAATTTATTCATTGATGGATGAGACTACATGACAAACAGCCAAGCCTTCATTCAGCAAACCAAAAGGGGCTTTTATTTGTTATTGTTCGTATGTTTGGTGGTTCGTGCTTAATTTTGTTTTTGTCTCTCTTTCTCAAAACGTCAAACGAGGTGAGAGAGTTTAAAATTTAGTTTAACTTTGTCCAACGTCTGTCTAGTTTCTTCGGAATTTTTGTATGTCCCCATTCTAGGCCTTAGAGGCCTTTGTTTTTGTCGGATTTCTTAAATAAAATTTATATGTTGATGTGAATAATTAATCTGGTTTTGTCTGTAAATAATAACATTCTTGTAATAAACTAATCCACTTTTACTTATTATTGACAGATAAAACAAGATTAATTATTCATATCAACATATAAATTTTATTTAAGAAATCCAACAAAAACAAAGGCCTAGGCCTACCTTAAGTTGTTGTTTTTATATACTAATTTGTGATAAGTTCTTGATAATGGCTTCCCAAGTTTGGAAGTACGGTATTTGATTAAAACTTGATGAAGCAAACAACAGATTTGCGAAATAATAATCTCTAGAGGTGGGGTCTAAAAGCACTTTTAACCTAAACCCACAATACCGGTACAGGCACTAGGCCTACAAAAAACCATCACAGTCACCAAACTAAGTATTGTTAAATCTTTTTTTTCAACAAACCTCCACCTTAAACTGTAACCTCAAATGAATATGTACTTAGGCCTATTTTCTAAAAAGTTTAGTTCAAAAGGTCCTTTCCATAACTACTTTTGTTTCTATGTTTCCATTAATAATGGAGCCTAAAATTAACTTAATGGTAGGTACAAAATGACTCAAAATTATTTCCTTCAAAATATTTAGCTATAACTTAACAGACAGTTCCTTAGTTTAACAAATTTTCAGAGCCCCTTTTATTTCCAAGGTTAGTAGCCTATGTTAAATGTATTGGTTTAACAGTGGAGTCATATCAACATTTAGGTATATATTTAACACTTCTGGTATGGAATATTTGGTTTTGATTTGAATGTGTTTGGCTGTCAAAGTGTTGTTTTTACAAATAGAAGTTTTATTTTCTTAATACCTTAATATAACTGACCTAAACTTATGAAAAAACCAGTTTTAAGAGTTAAACATTAAAAAAGGGACATTATTTTGTTTTTAAAATAAAACAATTAAGTAGCCTAATTTAAAATTAGGTATCGATGGTACCAGAACCAAAATTCGATTTTGAAAAATTGGTACCGACCCATCACTAGTTCCCATAGTAATTCCAGCTTCTAGTTTTTTATTTGTTGTAGAGAATCTTCCAAAGCTAGGTTGAATAGCAATGGGGACAAACTATCTTCTTGTCTTGCACATGTATTCATATCAAAATCCTCTGAGACTTCTCCATTGACTTTTAATTTTGACTTTTATCCTTGCATTTAGATCACGATACAGTTAATTTTGATAGGTTTATTAACTTTTTAGGTAGCCTATTCCATACTTTTTTATTACTTTCCAGTAGTGATGGGCGGATCCAAGAAAATGTCGGTACCGGATCCGCATCCGGATCTTGAAAGATACACACTGTCTAGCTAGAACATTAACACGAAAAACTAGAGGTGTGCAGATATCCGAAAAATCGGGTCGGTTTCGGGTTGGAAAGATACATGCCATTGCCATATATGTTATTTACATCAAACGACAAACACTAAGACATGGTCATTGGCCATGCCATATAAGTTATTTGCATCAAAAGACAAACACTGAGTCATGGCCTTCCCATATAAGTTATATGCATCAAAAGACAAACACTGATACATGACCTTGCCATATAAGTTATTTGCATCAAAAGACAAACACTGAGTCATGGCCTTGCCATATAAGTTATTTGCACCAAGAGAAAAACACCGAGACATGGCCTTGGCATATAAGTTATTTCCATCAAGAGACAAACACTGAGACATGGCGTTGCCATATAAGTTATTTGCATCAAAAGACAAACACTGAGACATGATCTTGCCATATATGTTATTTGCATCCTAAGACAAACACTGAGACATGGCCTTGCCATATAAGTTATTTGCATCATGAGACAAACTCTGAGACATGGCCTTGCCATATAAGTTATTTGCATCAACAAACGTTCGGGGAAAAAACGGTCTTGTACATGGATTCAGACAGCTTTGTGCTAGTAAAAATTTCGGGAAAAAATCGGGGTTGTACAGTGATACAGACAGCTTTGTGTTAGTAAAAAAATCGGGGTTGTACAGTGATACAGACTCCTTTGTGTTAGGAAAAAAATCGGGGTTGTACAGTGGGGGATGCGGAATACTATCCCCCGGAAAACTACCCCCCCAGGTGAAACGTGACGTCACAAAATCTGCTAACTAACCAATATGGAAGCCGTGTCCGCGACTGGAATACTACCCCCCCTAGTCAAATCATGCTATGTAATTTTAATTTTAATTCGAGTAATTCCGTCGGATAATAGAAAAGGCATGTGGTGAATATAAAACAGATTTTCGAAATGTTATAGCAAGTTTGGTTGGTTAGGTTAGGTTAGATTAGAACTGTTTGACAACTAAATTTAAGTGTCCGTGACTGGAAAACTGCCCCCCCGGTCTCTGACGTCAATATGACGTAGGAACCTGCTTGGGGGGGTAGTTTTCCGGGGGGCAGTCATCCGGCGACCCGTACAGTGCTACAGACAGCTTTGTGTTAGGAAAAAAATCGGGGTTGTACAGTGATACAGACTCCTTCGTGTTAGTAAACAAATCGGGGTTGTACAGTGATACAGACTCCTTCGTATTAGTAAAAAAATCGGGGTTGTACAGTGATACAGATAGCTTTGTGTTAGTAAACAAATCGGGGGAAAATCGGTCTCTTACATGGATACAGACAGCTTTGTGTTAGGAAAAAATTGGATCCATCAAAACCGGATCCAGTCCAAGATCCGGAATTTTTTGGATCCGATCGGGTGCCGGTTCTAGCTCGGATCCGGCAGATGCGGTAGTCCGATATCCAGATTCGACCATCACTACTTTCCAGAGTTTTCTCCTAGTGATCGAGTGGTATGCTTTGGAGAAGTCAATAAAAAGGCAGAAAAAGGATTTATTGAATTCATAATATTTTGCAATGCCTCTTTCAATATAAAAATTTGGTCAGTTGTTGATCTTCTTCTTGTGAAGCCGGCTTCATCCCATGATATTTTATGTATATTCCTCTAGTCTTTTTGTAAAATCTTTGATAGTACTTTGTAGGTGCAGTTGAGGAGGGAAATGCCTCTGTAATTGGTGCATTCTTTTTTGTCTCCTTTCTTGTGAATAGGAATGATCACTGCTTCCTTCCACTCATTTGGAATCAGTTTGTTGTCCCAAACATCAAGGTTCAGTTTGTGGATCTCTCTTGCCAGTTCTGTGCCTCCTGCTTTGATTACTTCCGATGGAATAGAGTCCTCCCCTGGGGCTTTATTATTTTTTAATTCCTCGATTGACGTTTCTACTTCTTGAATTGTTGGGTATGGGACCATTGGATCTACATTTTGGTGTACGCTTCCTCTTCTTTTTCTTGTTCAGACTGTCTTACATTAAAAAAAAATTTTAAATGTTCCTGCCATACTTTTAGTCCTTCTTTGCTCAGTACCGCCAGTTGTCCTGATTTGTTTTTAATCCCATATGGCATTGGACTGTATCCCTTTAAAAAAAATCTTATTGATCGGTAGAAGTCTCCACTGTTTGCTGTCCTGTCCTGTACAGCTTTCTCTAAGATTCTGTTCTGATACCCATTCTCTCTTTTACCTCCGAAGTACTTTTACTGTCTCTCTTGAGAATTTTTATAGTCTTCTCTATATCTTTCTTGTTTCTTATTGAGCCAGTCCTCTTTTGCTTTCTCCTTTGTGAGACATTAGCTTTACATTCTTTGTCGAACCATGGTTTTTTGTTCTTCCTTTCCCTTTTCCCACAAAATTCTTTTGCACAGTTTTGCAGGGTCTCTTTAATGTTCTTCCAAACCTTCTCAATTCTATTTACCTCTTGAGTATTCTTGAACAAGGTTGTTTAATGCCTGGAAACGGTTAGACAGTTTGAGCTGAAAATATTTCTTTACTCTTTCTTCTCCTAGCTTTTCAAAATTAATATTTTTTGCAGTTTTCTGTTTTGTTAGTTTCTCTATCTTAATTCTCTGTCGTATATTGACTAGAATTAGTGGTATGACCCACATTCTGCGTTCCTTATGCTACGTACATTGGTGATATGACTGGAATGTCTGAGATCTATTAGAACATGATCTATTTGGTTGTTAGTTTTTCAGGGCTGTGCGAATAGTTTGAAAAACGAATCGAATCCGAATCTTTTTAGAGATTCGATTTGGATTCGAGAACGAATCTACTGTTTCTAACTGGATTCGGATTCGGAATCGATATTCAAATTTACTGGTAAGAGATCCGGGTTCGGATTCGATATTCGAATTTCTTGGAAATAGATCCGAGTTGGGATTTGATATTCAAATTTACTAGATTCTGATTGAATATAATTTTCAATATAATTTTTTAGACACTAAAAAACTACTTGTGCACTCCGATTTGCTGTTGACTGGTTCATGTTAGGAACCTGACCAACTTGGTGTTAGGCTTTAGGCACATTAGTGTAGGTCGCATTTGAACCCTATCTTGGCTATCAGTAAACTTAACCTCACAGTGTTAGTTGTTACTTGTAATAGTAATGCAGACATAGGCTTGTGTGGAGGATTAACACTAAGGAGTATAATAGGCTGGGCCTATGTTTTAGAATACACAAATTGGTAGTCCATCACTTTTAGCGAGTAACTTAGGCCTAGGTGGTATGCCTAACATATGCCCAATTTTTTAGTTTCAAAACTTCTAATAGGTAGGCCTAAATTTTATAACTTTTTTATTTGGCCCATTTCAAGAATTTTTTTAAGCAATTCCCTAAGTTATTTCAGCCCCAGAAAATGTGGTCTAAAAATGTGAAAATTGGTACTGCTGACTTTCCTCGGATTTGGATTCGACTCTGAACAGGTCCGAATATTCGGATTCGATAACAGCTTTAAATTTCAAATTCGGATTCGATCCAGGTTCGATAATGGCTGTAAATTTGAGATTCGGATTCGACCCAGATTCGACTCGGGATTAATTAAAATATTCGGATTCGATCCGGATTCGATAAAATCTGTACAGCTATGATTCGGATTCGGATTCGAACCAAAATTTCTGGATTCGCACAGCCCTGTAGTTTTTCCACTTAGTGGTGTCCATGTTACTTTGTGCATGTCTTTTCTTGGAAAAGATGTAGGCCTACTCATTACCTTCATGTTTATGGCTACCGAGAGACTCAAAAGTCTCACTCCATTATCATTGCTGTTTGAATTAAGGCTATGTGATCCTGCAACATTTTGCCATATTTGTTCTTTGCCAATTTTTGCGTTTAAATCACCCATCCCCATCGTTATCTTAGTACCTTAAGTATCTTAGCGTTACCTTAATATCATATTCCGCATCTTCAGTAGGCGCATAAACACACATTACAGATATATTCTTAAATTTACCCTTAATCCTAATAATACATAATTTTTCATCTTTGGCTTCAAAATATATCACAGCACCCTGTTTACAGCAAAACCTACTCCTCCTGGTAACTTCCATCTTTATTGCCACTATAGTAAACAATGTAATCTTTGGAATTTAGCTTTCATGCCAATGGCCATCTTGTTTCTTGCAGGGTCACTAGATCCATCTCATATTTACTAAGTTCTTCTGATAGAATATCTATGGCTCCAGGCGCTGCTAGTGTTCTGACATTCCACGTGCCGAGTCTCAAAGTCCTAGAGGGTAGCCGAAGTTCATTCTGTGTAATCCGTCCTGTGTCCGAGGCATGGTGTTTGTTTGTCATAACGTGGTCATTTTCCGAGGTGAGTTGTTGGCCCGACGCTAAACCCCCACATGCCCTTGGATGACCGGGTTCGGGTTCTCTGATTTCGCCTACCTTATCAGTGCTAAGCCCACCGAAAAGGCGTTCCCCCCCCCCCCTGCACTACGGGGAAATAACACAGTCGCCCTTGCCAATACCGTTGCTTCATCACCACTGGGGCTAGTAGTTTAGGTGCATCTGCGGTGGTATTAGCCTTCAGCAGGGGTTTAAGAACCTATTGCCCAGGTAAATGTTATGTTTGATTCTAAAACACTTTGCTTTGTGACTTTTATAGCTCAGAAATGGCAACAACTACAATCAAAGCGCTTTGCGGATAAGAGAAAGTTTGGGTTTGTGGATGCCCAGAAGGAGGACATGCCCCCGGAACATATAAGGAAAATCATAAGAGACCATGGAGATATGAGCAGTCGCAAGTACAGACACGACAAGAGAGTTTATCTAGGGTAAGTGATGTCTAAATGCAAACATATAAAAAAGAAATATTTATAAAAATCCCCAGTATCCTATTTCTTTGTTAGAATTTCATTTTTGTAAGTTACTGAATTGCAATCTTAACACCACAGTGGATAATTATTTTATTTCTAGGGCACTCAAGTACATGCCACATGCAGTTATGAAGCTGCTGGAGAATATGCCTATGCCTTGGGAACAAATAAGAGACGTGAAAGCTCTCTATCACATTACCGGAGCCATCACATTCGTCAATGAGATACCTTGGGTCATTGAGCCTGTGTATATTGCACAGTGGGGGTGAGTTACAGTTAGTTAGAAGACGCATGTTATTGTAGGCCAAATAAAACAAATGGTTTATAGAGAACAGTTACATTATATTAAATAGTTTTTTTGGAAGATAATGCACTTGGCTTAGGTATAGGCCTACATTAAGGAATATTAAGCACTTGGCTTAGGCATAGGCCTACATTAAGGAATATTAAGCACTTGGCTTAGGCATAGGCCTACATTAAGGAAAGACAAAGCACTTGGCTTAAGCAGGAAACCCACTAGTCCGACGCTCTCCGACACGGCACCTTCCGATGCCTTCCGCACTTTTTAAGGCACACATTGGTCCGATGGGCGCCGTCAGTAACCGACAAGAAATTAGATATTTCAGGCTTTTTTGTAAACTTTTTGGCTGCTAGAGTAGTAAAAGAGGTAATTATTTGTCCATCCAATGGTTCTTTGTTTGCATAATATTTTTTTATAATAGTTGGTCCACAAATTAAGAACCAATCACCACTCAAATCCATAGAACTTGCATCAATGAAAGCATCAGAATATGTTCAGGCAGCTTTTTTTATAACGTACTGTATAAAGAACGTTCATCAATACTCATATCACACACAAAGCTAGACAGTGACTAATCTAGGTCTGGTGCACGCAGAGTGGAGAAATGTCGGATCCTACATCCGACAACAATGCCCCAGAGAGCAATGTTGTCGGAAGGTGTCGTGTCGGACTAGTGGGTTACAGTCCATTTAAAGTCATGCAAAGTAATTTTGTCGGAAGGTGTCTGTCGGACCAGTGGGTTTCCTGCTTTAAGCGTAGGCAAGAAAGAAGGAAGAAGGAATGGATAGGCCTACACAACTAACTTATCTTAGAAAAGTGTTCCAGGCACTTATAAGAAGAAATAAATTAAAACTTAAGTGGTACTTCATCCTTCTGAAGAAGCCCATTCTAAGGGCCAGATATCAGGTTATTGTGTTGTGAACTTTTTTGTGTACTTTTAACTACCTGCTTTTCTTAGGTAAATTAGTTGTGTACCTATCCATTCCTGCCTCCTTAATGTACACAGATATTAAATATAAATGGTGTCAGTGTGAATAGATATTTACAACAAAATAATATTTATCAACTTTACTTACTGCTGTGGCCACTGGTACCCTAAATGGTACTTGGCACGAGACGTTACCGACAGACCACCACCGCGCCATGCAGAACGCATCATACCGTGTATAGCCGAACTGTTTGTGGGAAATTGTTATCTCTATCACTGTCGCTGTCAAAACGTATCGTTTGTAGGTTAAATTTAAATTAATTTAACTGTCATAACCTAACCAAACTAACCAAACTTGCTGATAATGAAAATATCAAATGAAGGTTTACTAATAACAAAAATAGTTCTGTTCATAAAATAAAATTATAAATGTCTCAAAATCAAGTATATAATTATAAAATTAAACTATTATAACCTAACCATACCAACTTGCTGATGATGAAAAAAATAAAATCAAAAAGTTTAATGCCTCCGGTGGGTTTCGAACCGGCTGCCTTTGATTTATCAACCCGGATAGTGCACTATCCACTACACCACCGAGACCGATGGCTGTTTAACGTATCGTTGCGGTAATGGTGTTCGCTCAAGCGGTGATGGGTGGTGGTGGGCGGTGGCGGTCTGTCGGGAAGGGTGTCTGTACTTGGCTTCCAAAACACACTGCCTCCATACATCTCTGCATTTTGCGTCCTCCTTCCTTCTTCCCAGATCTCTTATGTCCTTTTCTACTTTGTCCCACCATCTCAATTTCGGTCTAACAAGGGGTCTTCTTCCTTCTGGGTTGTTCTCCAGTATTTTCTTCGGAAAAGAGTTGTCTTTTTTTCTTATGATATCATCCTTCTACTTCGTACCTCAGTAACAATATCCAGTTCCCAATTATTATGCTTTAATCTCCATTGTCCATCCTGAAAAAATCGGCCCGTACACTTTTCTCAATATTTTGTTTTCAAGTATGCTACTATAACTTTTTTTAAGTTTTTTTTTTTTACTTAAGGCTAAACATCCCTGAAAAAGTTGTCTTTCTGGCCCAATAGATAGCAGCACCTCTGCGGCAAATTTGTACCACTTATTATTTCCGTATTTATTATCAGATTTTTTTAATTGTAAACGGTTTTGTAAATGAAATTAATAAGACATTTACGCTATGTTGCTAATGTTTTTTAAAATTTATTAAAAAAAAAAGTTTTATAAAGAATTTTTTTTGCTGTAACAATTTTTTTTTAATCACAGGTAGTCATTTTGTAAAGAGAAATTTTAAAAGAATTTGCGGTTTTCAGATATTAATTCGGCCAAATGGTCGTATCGGAATTGTTTTTTAAAGAAATTATCATTATTTCTCTCGCGCTCCGGTCCCCTCCTCCGTCCTAATTAGTTTCCGTCCTAGTTTAATTTTCGGATTATTTAATCAGTAATATATAAAAATTGAATACTTGTGTCAGGCAATTAATATTACAGTAATCATAAATGTTATTTCTTTAACTGAGAATGCTCATTCCGATGACTAAAATAGCGAGCTGTGTTAGCGCTAAAACAGCATTGCGAGAGTTGGCGCAAAACACTCTCGCACTCTAATTTTTGCGTTTTCTGTCTGGACTCCAAAATGTTAGCTTATGCTATGAAAAAGATAAAACATTAGTGAAATATTTTTTTAGCAAACCATCATGAATTTTTAAAGCTTTACGTTATTAACGTATCAATGTTTTGTGGCCTGTGCATTTATTTACTTACTAGCTGTTTGCCCGTTCTAAGTAGGGCCTTCGAGAATCTTGTAGTAAGATGAAACCTTATATTCAGAACAGGAGTTGGTTTGCATATTTAGTGTGCATTTTTCCAGATACGGTGGCAAAACTATTACTATATAGGAATACATATAAACCTTCGCAAATACAATATCTGACAGTTTCAAAGCCAAAACGAATGCTTCGCAATTAAATGTCACCCGATCGTGTTAGTCCATATTTTATATCTAACTAGCTGGCCCGACAGACGTCGTCCTGTCCTATTGTGGTTTTATGTCACATGCTCGTTCATTTTCAAGATGAGCTCGTTCGCATGGCTCAATCACGTCCTGGTTGAAGTTCGTTCGCTACGCTCACTCACCTTTAGGTTGGAGCTCGTTCGCTGCGCTCACTTGCCTTCAGGTTAGCTCGTTCGCTACGCTAACTCGCCTCCAGGTTGAAGTTCGTTCGCTACGCTCACTTACCTTTTGGTTGCAAATTAGCTGTTCTCATAAATCAAAAATAAATATAGTGCTGCACCCTGTTGGTAAACCTATTAACTTTTTAATGCTATTGAACATCACAGAATCAAATTGTTTAGTTGCACCAGCTGTTAAGATTCTTTAATTCCATTTAAATATGAGTACTCATAAGGTTAACATGGGAAACTCCAGAGCCACTGGGGCGGAGCCCTATTGACGGATCTGCACCAAACTTCACACAAACCATCCTTGAATAATACTTAATAATGCCTGAAAGTTTCATTACAATCTGTCGAGCGGTTTTGGAGTCCATAAAGGACAAACATACAAATATACAAACATACAAATATACAAACATACATTGGATTTTATATATATAGATGATACAAGGAATTGCTTTATAGATCTATGAGGCATAGCCCTAAGGTAGGCCTGTAATTGAAAGTTACTTTTCACACAGGTTAAAAGTATTTAAAATACTACCTCAACCTCACTATTGCACACTTTATTCGGGTTGAAATTTTCATTAACAAAGGTGCTCTTTTCTCTTCCACGAAACACTGAGAAATAATGTTAACCAAAAACTGCATGATTCCAAGCAATGTACAGACAAAACTGTAATTTTATTTATATATTTGCCAACGGATTTACACCAATTTTACAGTTTGATTAGGCCTAAATACGATTATCATCAAATTAAAAATTTGATGACACTATCAAAACTTTTAAATAATTATTTTGTTTGCAATTTGCTTTGGTTAAAGCGTAGCAAAACCCTTAATTCAATTCTGTATTTGTTCGTGTATAGTATAGTATGGAAGCGCAGGAAACCGTCATCCACCGGTGTACAAGCAACACCCCAGCCTTGTTGTGGGGGGGAGGGGTAGCAAAAGTGAGTGTGACCTTGGAATGAGTCACAGCGGCCCTGTCCTGCACCTGCTTCATGTCTCTCTCGCGTTTGTTATAATTACTGTAAATGTTTGAACAACGATACTGACTAAACCAGCCAAGCAATTTTAAAAATTTAAAAAGGAAAATTAATGAAAAATTATTGTCATTAAAATGACTACCTGCAATTTTCATTTTTCATTTTGTAACACAATTATTTTATTATAATTTTTTTAACCAGCAACTTAATTCAAATTTATCTTCAATGGCGTGAATTGTTATCTTATCCAGTTCACAAATCAGTTTTCAAAATGAAAATCGGATGAAAATTCCACCAATAAACACCAACACAAAATGACTCCATTTTGGTGCTGCGACGTGGTGGTAGAATTTGGAACTAAACATGGGATGTTTAGCCTTAAAATCCAATTCTTTGATCCATACAGCAGAACTGGTCTTATGATTGTCTTGTATACCATTCTGAGTTTGTGAGGTGACGCTATTTTCCTAATCTAGTTACGTTTCACCATAATAAACTGTCAGCTCTGAGTCTAAGACGTGAATTATGTGTCTTAACAACATTTGCTTTGAGGAAAAACAAATGCATGAACAATGTAGAATCGTCATAACTTTGTTTTCAATTACGTATTAGGTGTATTTTTACTTAGTATTAAAAGCTGAGGTCGAACTTCGAGCTTTTTCAAAATACCTGGAGCTGAGCCGAATAATGGAAAGTTTGACTAATAAGCTTGAAGGCTTGAGCACTCGCACACCCCTACCTTTAATTAATTGAGCTTAATGCCCTTAGGATTTAAGGGTTTATTTAAGAGTGAAAACTTTCACATGAAGACCTTTCATTTAAGTATGCAGTTGATAGGTATGTAGCTTACG